AAACCATAATTCGGGCAGAGGCCCCCCGCCCCGCTTTACCTGGAGTCTCTCCGGAAGCCCCTCTCGACTTGGGGACAGTGGGACCTGAAAGGGGACTGTCCCCCAGGCTGCTGCGGGGAGAGGTCAGGTCCATCTCCTCGCCCCAGTCCGAGACGGGCTGGTGGCCTTCCATGGGGGAGAAGGGGCTCGGTGGGGGAGAAGGGGCTCGGGGGGGTGCCAGCCCCCCCATCTGGGGTGGGTGCCACGGCAGTGGGGGCCACGCGCAGTTTGGGAACCGCAGCCTGCCCGGTTCTGGGGGGACGCTGGGCTTTGGGGGACGCACTGCGGGGTGCTTCATCCTCGCTCGACAACCCTGGGCTGCCACTGCCTTCTTTCTCCTCCTCTTCTTCCTCCTCTTCCTCGCTGACATCCTCCCACTGGTCCTCATCTTCCTCAGGGCTCAGGGAGTGGGGAGGCTCCGGGAGGGCCCCACTTGGCACTTCTTCTGCCTGTGGGCAGGGGGTTAGGGGTATCAGAGCGTACAAAGGGCACCGTGGCACAGCCGAACACCCACTGGTTCCCCCCAGGCTCTGCCCCGGCGTTTTACCTTCCGGCTCTCGGCTTCCTCGGTTGATGCCAGCAGCTCCTTCTCCTCCCACCGGTTATCGTGCATGCTGGAAGAGAAAAGAAGATCCCAGTGGCTCGGAGAGCAAAATTCACAGGAAAATGGGGCTCAGAGAGGAGCACCCCCCAGCCCCCAAATCCTCGCTGGGACACGACCCCACCAACCTGTAGGGCTTGGTCCCGGCGCCCTGGCCGCGCCCCCGGCCCTTTCTCCTCCGCTGGGTACGATGCGGGGTGAGGAATTCCCCGAAGGTGGGAGGTTTGGGAGGGGGCCGCTTGTTTTCCTCCCTGCAACTCACTTCCAAACCAGGCGCGGCCGCAGAGCCCTCCTTGAACCTAAGACAGGGCATAGGTGATACTGGGAATGCTACAACACCCCTCAAATCACCCCCCAGTCCCCTATTACGTACATGTTGTCTGATTTCTCGGCATCCCACTCCCGCCGCCACTGCCCGGTGGGTTTGCGGTGCCGTGCCAGGCGTTCCTGATCGATCTGTTCCCGTTCCTTCTTCCAGCGGACGTATTCAGCTCGCTCCCGACCCGTCATGGAAAGTGTCATGTCCAGCGGCCCCCCAGCTTTCGGGCTGGAACGGCGTCCCTGCAACGAGACACAGCTTGAGCCCCGTCCCAGCCACTCAAACCCCACCCAGTGTCCATCCCCAGACACCCAGGACCCCCAAAAAATGAGAGGCCGGGGTGGAGGGACCCACCGGGGTACGTACGGGGCCCTGCCAGGTCTTCTCACGCTCCATTCCTGCCTTGACCTTGTCAAAATCGGCTCCTCCCCAGTTTCGGACATGC